AAGACAACCGTTCTCTCATCGGATGGCAGATGCCGGCGACCGGAAGCTACGCCCTGACCTCGGAGACGGTACGAGGTGCACCTAAAAGGATTAGAGGCGGTGAGCTTTCACTACGGGGCCGGCCGGAGAAGGAAACATCTCGTCATAAGCATTTCATAAAACTGCAGCTACTTTTATAATCTGGAAGCAATGCGTCTCCTGGGTACTGGGTACGGGGACCATGCAAACGCCAGAGGCAGGGCCGAGTTCGGATGGCGTTCTGAGCCTGTGCCACACGATGGGGTGCCGCCCGGCCGTGCTGGCACCACAAACCTCACACCTGTCTCTGCCACCAGAGGTCAGTGCCTGTCACGCTATCGTCAGTAAGCATCCACGTGCACTCCGGAGCCTCCCGAGCAGCCTCAGGGATGGGGAACACGTCCCCAGTTCACCACACACACAATTCTCCCTGAAGCAACTAGAGCAGCACTTCTCAACCTGTCATTATCCACCTCCTGTTTTTTCTCTTCTTCTTTTTTGATTTTAGAGAAAGAGGAAGGAAGAGGGAGAAAGAGAGAAAAACACCGATGAGAGAGAACATTAACTGGCTGCCTCCTGCATGCCCCCACTGGGGATCGGGCCCACAACCTAGGCATGTGCCCTGACTGGGAATCGAACTGGTGACCTCTTGGTGCAGGGTCGACGCTCAACCCCTGAGCCACACCGGCCGGGCGCCCTCCTGTCTTTGATACATTTCCCCCTGACTGTCCTATTCCCACACCACAGGTGTGTGTGTGTGTGTGTGTGTGTGTGTGTGTACTGCCTATCTGTCCATGTCCTGTGGCCCTCCGGACAGCCACAGACCACTCTAAATGACAAGGCTGACCAGTCTCACTATAAATCTGAGTTTGGAGACACGTTCTGGAAAGGTTACACCTTAGACAACGCCTTGCGGGTGAAGAAGGAACAGCCGGGACAGAAAGGTCGCCTGGGAGGAAGGAAGCAGGCAGGTGGGGAGGAAGGGGAGAGACCACTGGCAGGACAGGTGGCCGAAAGGACCACAGCATGTTGGGGAAGACAGGCATCCCTGAAGAGTCTGTGACAGCTGACACAGCGAGAGGGCAGCCAGGAGACCACAGGAGGAGATTCTTCACGTGCCGGAATGACTGCGCATTAGTCACGAATGAGCTGCCGGACACTCACCTCCTCCAGACGGTGTTCACAGGCCGTTCCGCGCCTGGCAGCGCTCGTGCGTGTCCTGCCACTGAGCGAGTTCGAGACGGTCGACCCTGACGCGCACGCGTACTACGGGCCACTCTGCATCCACCGAACCCCAAGTCCTCATAATGTAACCACAGCCGTCCCCCCTTCCCCACGAGCTTGCTCCCCGTGGTTTCAGGTACCCAGGGTCCACCTGGGAAAACACTAAATGGGAATCTCCTGAACGAGTCCTCCCTACATTATAAACCGCGTGCCATTCGGAGCAGCACGGTGGAGTCCCTCATCGTCCCCCACCCTTGCCCCTTGCCCAGTGCCAGTGCCTCCTCGCTGCGGACGCTCCCCCTGCTAGTCACTCAGCCGTCTCCGTCATCAGAGCGCAGCGCTTGGGTTCCGGTCACCCTCATTTTACTTACAGTGACCCCCCAACGCAAGCCCAGTGACGCTGACGCTGGCCGTTCGGATGTGCCACAGAGCAGCTGTGAAGTGCTTCCCTTAAGGGAAAAGGGACGTGCATGTCGGGAAACCACAGCAGGCATGGGCTCGGGACTCTCCACGGTGTCAGGTGTTCACCGGGGGGCTTGGAACACGTTCCCTGTGGATTATGAGGGACGCATGGAAGAACCGCTACTGTGCAAACAGTGCCTGCGGTGCCGGCCACGGGAAGAGAAAGATGAGCTGTTAGGGGAGTACAGAAGGGGCTTGGGGCACTGCCTCAAAGAGGGAGTGACATGTGGGTCGAGCCATGATGTATTTTAAGACTGGCAGGGTGCAGAAAGGGAACAGAGAAGGTCTTACCCTCAAGGGATGTAACTCCAGAAGGCACAGAGACGCACGACAGACACACAGAACGGGGGTCACGCAGAGCAAACTACGCCTGTGGGCCAAATACTGTTGTCCATCAAGTTTTATGGAACACAGCCCGGCCGCTGGACTGATTTGGGCTCTGGCTGCCTCCCACCCTGCCGCCCAGGCCAGCTGAGTATTCGTGACGGAACCGAAGACCAGCCGGGCCCTTGCAGAAGCCTGTGGACGCCGGTTCCACAGCCTTGCTGTTCAGAGAGGGGTCTGAAATGCAGACGTGTGGGGCCCATCGCAGACCCACGGGACCGGAACCTGCCTCCCTCTCTGGTGCCTCTGGTGCTCAGAAGGCTCTCCTGTCACCAGCATGTGTGGCCGGGAGGAGGCGGTGAGGCCGAAGGTGAAGGAAAGCATGCACTTATCCTATATATAGTCAGGGGAAAGCAGTCAAGGTTTTCCCATAAAGGGGTGGTGCCGTCAGCCCACGCTCCAGAAAGGTCCCTCGGACACAGTGTGACCGTCAGAAGAGTTGACAGCTGAAAGCAGGTGGCATCGGGTGTCAGAACCCAGGCAAAGACCTGAACTATGCAGGGGACACGGCCAGGCAGCTCCTTCGTTCTTCCCAGAAGCAAATGACGTTCTAAGAGATCACTGCAATTTCACCAGCACCGCCCATTTGCTACTAACTTATTAGGAAACAGAGAAACACTTCGTAACAAAATATTAGGAATCACATATTTCCGTGCACACCAAGTGTATCTCCAGCTACGTAATGCTACCAGACCGCAATGTATAAATTATGACATTAACTGGACAAGAAAGAAGTTTGAAGATTAAATGAGGACCAATTCATCAGCTATCTATTATGTAGGCTGCTAACACATCAGTTCACAAGATATTTCGAGGTGTCATGTCTTATGCTAGGGCTTTTTTCCCCCAAAAATAAATGCATGATTCTGCTTGATTTTCAGTTTTTCCACATTTTGGATGAATAAGCAATCTAAAGTTAAAAAAACACATCCCAAGCTGCATTTTAAACAACACACCAACACCATTCCTCCTTCTAGCTCAGCTAACAGCTCCGAGCAACTGCTTAACATTCTGCCTCCTTCAAAATCTAGGAAAGTTTGACAGGGTTATTTGTAGGATCTGAATCCTACATGCTTTAGTGTAAGGAGAGCAATATAGATAAAAATAGATGAGCAAAAACGGGAAATTCCCTTTCTTCGCGGCTCAGGTTTGATACTTTATATTCATTCCATTGGCAGAAACAATGCAGATGAAATAAGGCTTGTGTGTCTGCCCTGAGAAATGAAACATCATTAAATCAATAAATCTCAAGGAAGAAAAGAATGCATCAAACTCGTGCTGAGGAGAATCTCTATGTTAAGATTCATTGATAAAAACCTTAGAAAGTCCATGAATTCATCACAACGGTTAATGGCACTTAAAGAGATAACAGTTAATAACATTAATATTAACTATTAGTTTTCTCTGGGTTTATACTGTACTAAATGTCATTGCATGAAGTATTTCATTTAATCCTTAAAATATCCTGATATTGGCTCCAGCTTATAAAGGGGGAAACTAAGGCACAGAGAGCTTAAGTTACTTGTCCAAGGTCACACAGCTAAATAGGAAGTGGAGCCAAGATCTGAAGCTGGGCCTGTGTGCTGGACCATAACTGTGGCACCTCTCAAACAGTATCGTCCGTCCACTTTCCTCTGTCCCTAGATGAATCTGCATAATATTTAAATGCAATGGACTCTCACTATCACTGATATCAAAGGCAAAGAAAACCTCTATGATTTAGACATTCAAAGTCTTCACGGAAAGAGGGGTACACCATATTGCCCTGTGAACAGTGGCCAAAAACTTGACCTGTGATATAATAAAACGAAGGAATAATGAGGCGGATTCCTCAGTAGGATAACATGCAAATGAGGTCTCAGTAAAACTCTGAAATGTATCATATAACTGCTTGTTAATGATACATATGGATGCAGACTTTTAATGATAATTACTCTGAATGCATTATCTTCTAGCTAAGATGTTTGTGAAACGCTACAGAGACTCTAAAACATAAAATAAACATAGGCACTGGCTTAGGACTAGGGGGGTCAACACTCTCATATTGGTGGTGCATGTTACTGAAGTAACTGCTTGACTGGAAACAAACAGGAGCGTTAAAGCAAAGTTGGCACCAGGCACACCACCCACATGGCACATTCTTTGTTCCTGGAGCTTCATTCCAGCAACAGTCTTGGAAGAAAGAGAAGTCACTGAATAAATAATGCAAGTCCACAGGACAGTGTGCAGGTCTTTCAAATTCTCCAAATTGTCAGGCGTCTGATACAAAGTTCTCTTCCCACTTCGACCTCATCACGTCCCATTTAAAATACTAATTTTGCCAAAGAACAAACTCACTCCCTTCGCGTTCTAACAGCTTCGAAATAAGATCCAGGTAAGAAGAAAACAGGGCAGGGGTAAAAAGCAAAAACAAAAAAAACCCCAACAAGTGAAAAGAGAAGAGGCGAAAGAAATGATGGAGTGACAGTCACCTGAACTCCAAACCAATGGACTCAGCCGCCTCAGGTTTCCCCATTTAACTTTCCCTATTTACAACCAGAAGACACACCCTGGCGGTGGTATTTTCACAAATACAAATACGGGGACAGTTTGCGCTATTTACAGGGATGGACCGTACACGTAATCCGGTGGTTACCCCGCGCGTAAGGCGGCAGCGCAAGCAGTCACTACTGCATGACACCTTGCTCGCTCTCGGGCTCGGCTCGTACGGACAAAAGGACCGACCATCCTTGGACCCGGCTCGGCTGCCCCTGCGGAGGCTCCGCGGGCTGCTGCAGAAGCGCTCCGCTGGCCCCGCGCCTCCATCGCCGGCCCCGGGCAGCGGGCCGGGCGCGCGGCCTCCGGGGCGTGGGGACCCGGCTGCCGGCCCCTGGGCGCAGGAGCGGAGGCGCGTCCCAGCGGGGGGCACTCACCTTCTTCTTCCAACTCGAATTTCTCCAGCATGCCGGCTTCCGCGGGTCCCGGGGCCGCCGCCAGCGCCGCCTGAGGAGGAGGAGGAGGAGGACAGGGATCAGCATGCGCTCGGCGACGCTCGTCCCCGCGCGGGGCGGGGGCGCGGGGACGCGGGAGCCGGGTGGGGGGGCGGGGACGGGGCTGGACTCCGCGGCCCCGCCGAGCGCAGCGGCCTCGCTCCGCGCCGCCGCCGGGAGGAGGGGCCTCCGCGCGCGGACCGGACGGAACGGAACGCGGCGCGGCCCAGCCCCCGGCCCGCCCCCGCCCCCGCCCCGGGCCCGCCCGCCCCGCGCCCCTCCCGAGTGGAACGCTCCGCCCTCCCCCCGCCGGCGGCCTTGGTACGACCGGCGGAGGAAACGCGTGGGAAGAGGACCCCAGGGCGCGGGCGGCCGGCGCACCCCCTCTGGCCTGGTCCCCGGTCCCCGCCGGGCCGTGGGCGGCCATGAGCGGAGGAGGCCGGTGTTCCCACCGCCGCCGCGCCCTCCGCCCCGCGCGCACCTCCCGCCCCGCCGCGCACCTCCGCTCGCTCCCCCGCACCCACGGCCAGCGCGGCCCCGCGGGTCTAACCTGCGCAGGTGTGGTCTGGGCCAGCCCGGGGGTGGGGCGCGAGGGGCGCGCCGCGGGGGGGTGGGGGTGGGGCGCGGGGGCGGGGCGACGCGCGGGGCGGGGGCGCCCAGAGACGGCACCGGGGGCCAGGGCGGTGGCATTCCTTTTTTAAATTTTAGGCGACACCGCCCATCCCCCTCCCGTATTCCAAAGAACTGTCCCTTGGGTTCCACGCATTGCGCGTGCCCTGCGTGCCTGTCACTTCCACCGAGCCCTGGAAGTCTTCTCCACTTCCTCTCTCCACCGCCGCTTCCCTGCGGCTGAGCCGCTGCCAGAAGCTCACACGAACCTAAACCTGGCCCCGGCCGCTCTGTCGCCCTGGAGCCGGGTATCTGAGACTCTCCTGCTGCCAACTCGGGTTGGCAGGGAGCGCGGCTGGCAGCTCAGACCTTCCCGGGGGAGCAGGGCAGCCCGGGCGGGTGCAGGCGCCGCACTCCGGGAGGCTCCTGCGTGTGACAGCCAGTTCGGGCACCATCTGCGGGCCCCTGCGCTCACTCCCAGAGCTCGGGCCCTGATAACGAGTCAGCTCGCCAGCGCCGATGGGGGCTGTAAAGGGGCCTCCAGCTCTCGAGAGGAACTTGGTTGCACCGTGTCTGCAAGCCCAGCCCGGAGGAGGAAGTACTAACATCTCCTTGGCGCTTCCTTTTTTGCTCTGTCATCTCAGCGGGGCCAATCTCTTAAGTCTTAAATTTCTTCTTAAAGAGAGGGGGGTGGGGAGGAAAAGAAGACAAAATACATTTTGTAAGAGGGTTGGGGGTAACCACCTACAGCTGTATATGTCATGCTTAAGGGTCGAAGGCTGAACTGTTCTCTCAAGCTCAGGAGCAAAGCAAGGATGTCTACTTTCACATTGTTCTTATTCAGCATCGTACTGCAGGTTCTAGCTGCTGCAATTAAGGCAAGAAAAATTACTAAAAGGTGTGCAAAGACACAAAACCATCCCTATTTGAAGACGCCATGATTGTCGGCATAGAAAGTCGCAAGGAATCTAAAAACAAATGAACAGCCCTGGGCGGTTTGGCTCAGCGGTTAGAGCGTCGACCTGCGGTCCACAGAGACCCGGGTTCGGTTCCCGCTAAGGGCGTGTACCTTGGCTGCAGTTTGTCCCCGGCCCTGGTCGGGTCGTGTGGGTGGCGGCCACTCGATGTGTCCCTTTCACATCGATGTTTCTCTCTCTTCCTCTCTCTCCTTCCCGCTCTATGAGTAAGAAATGGAAAAATGTCCTCGGATGAGGATAAAAAGAAAAAAAAATAAAATAAAAATAAAAACAAATGAACAAACAAAAACCCCCCCAAAACTAGAACTCGTGAGTTCAGCAAGGTCATAGGATACAAGATTCACAGGCAAAAAAATCAATCTCAATTTTATATACTAACAAAGAACATGTAGACACTGATATTAAAGACAATACTATTTACAACCACTGCAACGGAAATGAAATACTTAAGGTATACGCTTAAGGAAACGTACAGAATCTGTATGCCGAAAGCTACAAAATGCGGATGAAAATGGAAGGAACCCTAAGTAAACAGAGAGGCGTCCCATGTTTGCGAAATGGGAGACCCAACACTGTAAAGATGTCAGTTCTCCCGCAAACTGATCTCGAGGTTTAATGCAATTCTCATTAAAACCCCAGTAAGCTTTTTTGAAGACAAGCTTAGTTTAAGATGTATAAGGAAATGCACAGGCTCTAGAATAGCTAAGCAGTCCTCAAAAAGAAAGAAGTGGGAGGAATCACTCTACTCAGTATTAAAGCTTACTCCAGAGCTACAGTAATCGAGGCTGTGTGTACTGCATATGATTTCACTTATATGAGGATCCGAAAGAACAAAGTAATTGAACCAACAAAACAGAAACAGACTCACGGATAGAGAAGAACAGCCTGATGGTTGCCGGAGGGGAGGCGGGTTAGGGGACTGGGTGAACAAAGGCGAAGGGATTTGGAAGCACAGATCAGTAGTTACAGAAGAGACATGGGGATATAAAATATAATACAGGGGCCCTGGCCAGTTTGGCTCAGCGGTTAGAGCGTCGGCCTGCGGTCTGGAGAGACCCGGGTTCGGTTCCCGCTGAGGGCATGTACTTTGGTTGCAGTTTGTCCCCGGCCCTGGTTGGTCGTGCGGGTGGCAGCCACTCAATGTGTCCCTTCATGTCGATGTTTCTCTTTCTCTCTCTCCCTCCCACTCTATCTGTACAAAAAATGGAAAAATATCCTCAGGTGAGGATAAAAAAAAATTAAAAAAAAATTAAAAAAAATATAATACAGGGAATATCATCAATAATACTGTAATAACTATGCATGGCGCCAGGCGGGCACGGGAACTATCGGGGAGCACTTTGTAAAGTATATGATCGTCTACCCACTATGCGGTACACCCGAAATGAATACAAAATAATATTTAATGCAAACTATAATTGAAAAACAAAACAAAACAAAGGAAAAAAAAAGACTAGTATTGATGGCAGAGAGACAGACACATGATCAATAGAAACAGAATCTGACCCATAGAATGTGTCAAACGGATGTTTGCTAAAGGTGCAAAGCAATGGTGCTCCAGCAACCGGACACGGCTAGGCAAAAAACAAACCTCAGCATGAGCCTCACACCACACAAACAAGCTCAAGTTGCATTACAGACTGAAAAATAGAATGTAAAACATGAAACTTTTAGGAAAAAAATAGGACAAAACTTCAGGACCTATTGTTAGGAAAGAGACAGACTTGACCTCAACAGCTCGATCCATAAAAGGGAAAAGGAATCAGAGGGGCCTCATTAGCATGAAAGGGTTTGCTCTGTGGCAGACACTGTTCAGAGGATGAAAAGGTAAGCTATGGAGTGCAGGCGAAGACCTGTAAAGCACACAGGCTGCAAATGCCTAGTGTCTGTAATCCGTAAAGAACTCGCAAAACTCAATAGTGTAAAAAGAAAATCCAGCTCTGGCCGGTTTGGCTCAGCGGTTAGAACGTTGGCCTGCGGTCCAGAGAGACCCGGGTTCGGTTCCCGCTAAGGGCATGTACCTCGGTTGCAGTTTGTCCCCGGCCTGGTTGGGTTGTGCGGGTGGCAGCCACTCAGTGTGTCCCTTTCACGTTGATGTTTCTCTCTCTCTCTCCCTCTCTATCCCTCCTGCTCTATCAGAACAAAAAATGAAAAAATGTCCTCGGGTGAGGATAAAAAAAATTGAAAAAAAAAAAGAAAGAAAGAAAGAAAATCCGGTTAGAACATGGGCAAAAGATATGAAGAGACATTTCACTGGAAGAGATACAGGCAAATGAGCCCCTATAAAGATGCTCAGCATCATTAACCAGCAGGGAAATGCACATTAAAACCACACTAAGCGATTGCTGTACATCTATTAGAATGACCCAAATAAAAATAGCAAATGCTGGTGAGGATGCAGAAAAACCAATCGCTTCTGCATGGCTGTGAGGATGCAAAATCGTACTACTGGTCTGGAAAACAATCGGGTAGTTTCTTGCAACTGCCCTATGGACGCAGCAATTGCATTCTTGGGCCATTCACCCCGGATCAATGAAAAGTACGTTTACGCGAAAACCTGTATACGGATGTTCATAGCGGCTCCATGCGTAACAACCCGAATTGGAGATAACAGATGTCATTCAATGGCTGAGTGATTAAACAGACCACAGTTGTACTCCGCTGAACGCGAGCTATGTTCCGAGAAACGTGTCGTTCGGCGAGTTCATCGTAGTCCGAGCATCATAGGGTGCGCTTGCACGAACCCCGACGGCACGGCCTGCTGCGCACCTGGGCTGTATGGTATAGCCTGGTGCTCCGGGGCGCCAAGTCTGCACGGCACGTACTACACTGAATACTTGTACGTGCTTGTGTATCTAAATACAGAAAAGGTACAGCAAAAACATGGTATAAAAGATAAAAAATGGTGCACCTTATGGGGTGCATACCGTGAATGGAGCTTACAGTTGTTTGTATTTCTGGGAGCTGTTCTGGGTGAGTCAGGGAGTGAGTGGGGAGGGAATGTGAAGACCGACGACATTCCTGTACCCTGCTGTAGACTTTATAAACACTGTACACTTAGGCTGCACTACACTTCAAAACCATTTTCTTTCTTAGTTTACTGTAACATTGTTACTTCATTAAAATTTTTTTTATCTTTATTGTTAAAGTATTACAGATGTCCTTCCTTTTTTCCCCTAATAAAAAATTTTAAGACTTTTTGACTCTTGTAATAACACTTAGCTTAAAACACCAATGTATTGTACAACTGTACGAAAATATTTTCTTTGTTTATATCCTTATGCTATGTTTTTTTCCATTAACATTTTTTTAAAACTTTATAAATGTTTTGTTGTTTAATTGTCTTTTTAATACTCACTGGAGGATATTTTTCCATTTATTTTTCGACAGAGTAGGAGGGGGAGAGACAGAGAGCGAGAGCGAGCGA